TTTTTTTTTTTTTTTTTTTTAATTATTGTTATTCATATTAATGTAATTGGATAAAAATACTATTAATTATGTTTATTAATCTTTTTTGGGTTTTTTTGTTCCTTATATGATATGAATTTTTGTATATTTCTTTTTATTTCATCCTTTATTTATTTATTTTTATATATATATATAGCATTATTCTTTAAAAAATTTGATGATTCGAATAATTTAATCTAATTAGTACAATTTAATTTTATATATATATATAATTAGAATATTTTTAAATATTTTAGCTTTGGAATTTGTGTTACTTTTGGAAATACAAATTCCATTAACATTTATGAGCTTGAAGGCTTTTGAAAATAACTTTTTCACTTTTTACCTCTTTAACTTTGTATTATTATTATTATTATTATTTTGCTGTGAAACTTTTTGTGTTTTATATATGGTTAATTTTTTATTTTCTTAATTAAAGATTTTATAATGTAAATTTTTTTATATGTTATTTATGAGATTGATTCGGAATTATTAAATAGAAAGGAAAATAATAAAAGAATCTTCACATGGGTTGCTTCCAAATAATTTGCACCACACTAAAAAAAAATGGATTTAATTTTTAAAATTTAATATATATATATATATATATTTGTGAAAAATAAGGCTTCAACATTGGTTCATCTCCGAACCACATTCTATTGAGGAATGTTTGACTTTCGAACATCTATAACAACCTTAATTTAAATAAAAAAAAAAAATTGGTGTTACTTGATTATGTCTTGACAAATATTCATGTCATACATTTAGTAATGACCAAATCTCTCGATTAAAAGTAGAGTTGTTACACATGTCTATGCACTCGATGTGTTTAACTCGTGTCCTACGAAATAAAATAATACTTTTTAATCTATATGCATAGCTTTAACGAATGACTGTAACCACTTGTCTTTTGATCATTCAATAAGAGAACTTCTCTAATAGGATATCATAGTTCTAACGGGTTGTTTTAGTTAAGAGATGAAAAATGACGTTTTGATCTTTGGAGAGACAATCTAATGTAATAGGCTCGAATTCAAATCGTACAGAAGATCAATCTCGGGAACAAATTTTGGATATTAAAAATTAGGGTTTCGGGGAAAGACGAGGAAGTAGTCGGGTCGTGTGCGGTTGAAAGGAAAGCCATAAATGTTTGGTTTGAAGTGAAAGGTGTGAAAAAAAGAGGCAAAACACAGAGACATATGATATAATGATTGTTATGAAAAAGCACCCAACACCATTATGTTTATGTTTGCCCTTAAACCAATCTTCTTTTTCTTTTCTTTTTTGTCTGCTCTTCTTTTTTCTCTCTTATTTTTTTATTACAAAAATAAATAAATAAAGGGGAATTATAATAATATTAATACTAATAAAAGTACTCTAAATATTACCAAAAAGAGATAAAGCAACAAATTTTGTTGGGTTTTAATAAATGCTTTTTCACATTTTGATTAAAAACAATTAGTTGAAAGTATGATTTTCTCTTCTCCTCAAAATTTTTACAGTTAAGAAGAGATTTTTACACTTTTATAAAGAATATTTCGTTCCTTCCTCAACCGATGTGGGATCTCACAATCCACCCCCTTCGGAACCCAGAGTCCTCGCTGACACTCGTTCTTCTCTCCAATCAATGTGGGATTTAACAATTCACACTCCTTTGAGACCCGACATTCTAGTTGGCACACCGTTTGGTGTTCACCTCCCTTCGGGGCTCAGCTTCCTTGCTGGCACATCGCTTAGTGTCCACTCTCCCTTTAATAGTCAGCGTTGTTGCAGGCACATCGTTCGGTGTCTGGCTCTGATATCAATTGTAACAGTTCACGTCCACTGCTAATAGATATTGTTGTCTTTAGGCTTTCCCTCTTGGAATTTTTCTCAAGGTTTTTAAAACGCATCTGCTGGAAAAGATTTTCACACCCTTATAAAGAATGTTTCGTTCTCCTCCCAACCGATATGACATCTCACAATTCACCCTCTTCAAGGTCTAGCGTCCTCGCTGGTACTCGTTCCTCTCTCCAATCAACGTGGGATTTTACATTTGTCAACTATATATGTATATATATATATATTGGATAATTTAATACCAAAATAACATTTTTAAGGACAAAATGGGTCAAAATTGACTCATCAATCCAATAACATAGATTTAAAAAATAAAAATAAAAAAGTTAAGAATTTGAAGTGTTCAATTTCTGACAATTTCCCCCTTTTCAAAATGGCATTTTTAATGTTATTAATAAAACGAATTGAAATTACCAAACAAATCCCACAATTTAATGTCAAAGTTTGAGGCACTCGAAACCAAAACAAAACAAAACCCACTAATTCAAAATGTATATTATTAATTATAATTAAATTTCGAGTAAATCTTATGGAGCAACGAGCATATTTTTTGAACTTTGTAACAAAATTTAAAAAATTTAAAAAAATTGTCAATATAATATTCTGGTGATGAATTTGGAGACCAGAAGACATCCCTAACTTGCACTCTCTACTTTTTGTTTCATGGAATTATTCATAAATTAATTTTATCTTCTTTTTTTTACTGAAATTGCAGAATGCACTGAATGTGATTCGAATCCTAAGTTAATTATAAAAAAAAAATAAAAATAAAAATAAAAAAAGAAGAAGAGATTTACGAGGTTATATACTTAATGTAGGAATCTTAGAAAATCTGTTGGGTTTAATGTAATTATTCTGTTGCGTGTCTGTGGATTAAGTTAATTAATCCGACATCATTAATAAATTAAGGTTTCTAATTCAAAGTTATGTCCTTTGAAATGATAAAATAATCAATGTCAATATATATCCATCCCCCTAAATCAATATAATCAAACAACACAAAATCTGGCTTTTTGTAAACGAAATTACAGTACAAGGCCATATGTTACAATGCTCATAGTCATCAAAATGTTAATGCCTCATTCCTACACGAACTCAACAACAAATACTATTGTTCGTACGCATGTCGGTTTTCGACTGTCAGGCTCTCTTTCACCCTACCGATAACGACTGAATATCGCTCCATCCTTTTGATTGTAAGTTCTATTAACAATGCTTCCAATAGTTATAACCCAGAGACGTTTAACAGAACTGATCCAAGGAGCAATGGCTGAAGTCATCCCAAAAATATCAAATACTTTGCTTCCTTAATTGGGATGAGGATCATTCATCACATCCTCCTCCCTGTGCTCCTGAGAATTATCAACATTTTTTTCATCAGATGTCGAATGACCAGAATTATGATCGGTTACGACCACCGTCGGATGTCGTTGGGCAGCTTCCGTTTCAGTAACAGACTCATCGTCTGTGGATGTTGACCCAATATATATCATACGAAACTTCTGCCCATGAGTCAGTCCTGGACAGAACCCCTGCGTGACACAACAATAAGATTCTATTTGGTAAAAGATCCTAATTCAATGGCTTGAGTTCCTCTTGGTATTTCTTTTACCTATTCAACTAATTCTCTTGCATTTTTAAATGTATAACCAACAAATAACTCTAAGGAGTATAAGTATTCATTCACATAAGAAATCCGACACGAGATGCGAATGTGTTTTCTTTGTAATATTCTAAACCAATCTACTTAAGTGAGAAAAAGAGGCTCTGGTGTGAATATATTGAGAGAGCAGTATGCACCAAGCTTAAAGCAACTGAAACAATTACCCTGATCAACCCAGTTGTTGATGTCAACTCATCAAAATCAGAGCTTGGTGGGGTTTCTGTTGAAGTCGTTCCCTCAGAGAATGAATGTTTAGCTTCTTCAACACTGGTTGCATTATTTATCGCATCAGATTCTGATTCCACTCTACTTTTACAGAAAGCCCCAAGATATGAACAATGTTCCCTAACTAGGGATATTTGAGGGGTTGCAGGCAACAAGTGGCCCTCTGTGCTAAAAACATACCTATAAAAGGAATTCATGCATAGTTGCTTTTAAAAATATAGCATGTTGTTCCATTAACACATAAAACTTAAACAGAATCTAAAACTTACTTGTATGGACCATTTTCCACAAGGTTGTCAGGGCCCGCAGCCAAGTCAAAAAGAAGCCACAAGTATTTAACCTAATCCAACGAACATTCAACATAAAGTAATAGAAGTAAAGTAATAGTTTCTTTTTCCTTTTTTCTATGTTGGATTGGGGGAAGATTCCTCACCGTTTCTGCAAGGAAGAAGCTTTCCATGTGATCTTCTTGCTTGTGAAACTCAACATCTGATATATGACAATATCCACATGGGCATCGGGCTCCATATTGCAAACTGGCGACCATGTCC